TCTCTCTCGTTCTATTCCCCCTTTCTCTATCTCGCTCTCTATCTTTCTTTCACTCTCTTCGATCTTCCTCTTTCTCTTTCTTCCGTTTCCCCTCGCAGTCTTGCTTGTCGTCACGACCGTTTTCTCTCCTTCCGTCGTCCCTCACCGGTACACACCGGTCTCGGGAATCGCGACCGGACGTACAACCGCCGCTGTGAAATATTAAAGAGTTAATGGTGACCCTCCTCGCAGAGTTGCGAGTAATTACCACCTGACAGTCGCGTATCGTCAGATAAATCGATAACGCGAAGTTTGATCCCTCGAGACGCCGTTAATTGCTCGTACGTTCGAGAAACGTGCAATCTCACGCGTTTTCCACAGCCCCGCCGCCATAGACCTTTCCAATCACGCATTTTCTATCCCTTCGTGACTCGCTTACACACAGACACGACGATGCGCGACACTGTTAAAAAATTTCCTCCACGAGGGAACACAACGCGATACGTGCAGGCCGCGATAGTTGCGTTATATCGATCTCGGAGAAGAGAGCTCCATGAACCCGGAACCACCCATGCTCGCTCGTTTGATGTACATATACCCCCGTATAATATGTCTACGTGATCGTGGCACTGACCCCGACGTCGCTTCTCTTTGTGCTCGATATGCATGCGCATAGAAAAAGTTTCGGGGTTGCCGAGCACGTTCTCACTCTACCGCATATCGCGGCATCCTTTCCCCGTGATTCTTATGGAAGCGTATAATGAAAATAAAAGAAACGGGGAGTCAGAAGACAGATGGTCGCAATGCCCAGTTGTTGCCGCGTTAAAAACCAGATTTTCCAGTCCAGCATATCCCGTTACGTATACAATTAAAAAGATACCATTGTTGTTATCTCTCTAGTCGTTCATTTCGATCGAACATACAATTTTATACGTGTTTTGTATACGTGTTTATATTAATAGAAATAAAATTTTATCATTATTAACACTGCAATAGATTTAATGTGTATTATTCTTCATTGTAATTATTCCATTATCTTCTATTATTCTTCAACTTTTATTTTTTAATAAATTTATTTCGATAATTATTATATTTTTTTATATTATTTCTTTCCTGGCACTACACATACACGCACGTTCACTCATTCATTACAAATATTTGAAAAGCAAAATCGTGTCAGTGGTAAACTGTAAGGTTTTGAAGGTTTCTCGCGTCTGTATGCGGCCGTCTAGTGATCCTCAGAGGAAAATTGGTCAGAGAGAAAGGATCTGCAAGGCCAGCAGTAGGATAACTACTGTTGAAAGCGACATTTGCGCCAAACGGAAATACAGAAATAGAGTGAAAGAAGGGGGTTGGAAGAAGGGTATATTGTGTAAAGAGTTCAAGACCGGGCGAGGTTGATGGAAGAAGCGAGAGCGTGGGAAGACGGACGAAGACGGAACACGGGCGGTGGAATGGAAACCGGGATCGAAGAACGGTCCTGTGTCCCTCCAACGTCATGAATCATGCATCCTCATCCCCCAGGAGCGAACTGGAACGCGCTACGGCGGTGCGACCCGTCCGAGAAATAAACAATGTTATTTGTTCGTTGGGATCCCTACCCGCAGGTCCAAAGGACTTCCAGCAGAACCGCGGCGGAAGGACGAGTGGCGGGTTCCGTGCTTTCGTAACCCACAACCTTGGGATGAGAAGCCCGACGACTACTCTCTTGCCCGCCCTCTTTGCCCTTTCTCGAGCGCTTCTGTCACTCGTTCCATCTCGTTCCCGCGCGTTTCTGCGCTGTGCCTCGCGCGCCCACGCGCACTCTGACAGCCAGAACTGTCAACGACAGAGGAAGCTCTCGCAAACCACTGATGGTGTTTGAACGGGGCCGAAGTGACGCGAAGGACGAGCGCATACATGCCGGACAAATAACGATACTTCCGCTTTCTCGGTAAACTGGATATCTCTGTTCCTCCTGCGCGTGCCAGCTCTCTCTGTCCTTTATCATGGACCTTCGTTTTGCTCACTCCGCTTCTACCTTCTCAGGAAGGATAAAAGCAGAAATAGAAGAACGAAAGTTTACGCGACTGTCTGTAAATATAAGAAATATCGTAGGAATCGCTCTATTGCGACGTGACTATAATGTGTCGTTTTTATTTTTGTTGCAGATGAACCGTCCTATTCAAGTGAAGCCAGCGGACAGTGAAAACCGCGGAGGTAAGAACAAGCAATCGATCCAATATGCGTCTCGACATTAAAAAAATTAGGTCGCTAATTTAATTACATTGACGAATATTCTAAATTTTCGTTAAAAATTCTATGTATCATTAAATTTGACTAATTATTAAAAAAAAAATTTCTAACGTTTTCAAAGTAAAGTTTCCATTTTTCCACTCACAATATTATCTTTACACAATACAAATAAAAAACCTCGGTACGTCGCGAGAGATCGTAATCACACATATTTTATATATAATTACGAACGGCGACGAAGAATTATAAATATGCTCTTACAGACACAATACGATCTATGATGAGTCAATTACAAATTACAGTGTCATGCTGAAAACGTATCTCTCGTATTAATTACGGGAAAGACAATTTTATTTTGCGCAGTATACGTATACTCGATGTCTTTAACAACGTTAGATTCCATATCAATGCAAGAGCACTATGTAATGAACTACAGATAATTCGCTGTAATAGTGAGTCGCTGTAATAGTGAACACGTTCGTCGTATATAAAATTCATACTCGCGCCGACGACGCGCGATAGACTACACGATAAAAAATGTACACCGCGGTACCACCCACCCACGAGCTGATATTCATCGGCTCGTTCTCTCTACAGAGTTGTCGCGCGCGCGGCTCCTCTTCGCGCCGCCCCGCGCCATATCTTCCCCGTGCACACCTTTCGCCGAGAGCCAATTTTATTAATTACGTGGAATTTTACAGCTGGCGATGGCCGTCATGTTGACATTCGCTTATCGTCGCGGTAGCCGCCGGTCATAAATTTCGCGTCACGGTAGGATAACTGGGTGGTCCCCGCGTATGTATGACGAGGCTTCAGATAATCGAGAGACAAATTGTCGATCGACCATCGTTTTTAATGAGTCCTCGCTCGCGCTCGCGCCCGCCTCGTATTCTCTCCCCAATCGCGTGACCATGCGCCCCGTGTCGTCGCCTCGCCGATCTGTCCCGTGTATAAATATATAATTTTAGCCGGTATTATTAATTAAAAAAAAAAAAAAAATACAAAAACGTACGGCCTCTAATCGATGCGATTGCGTTGTAGTAAAGTATTATCTCGTGCAAAAATCTGACGCTCATCCGTCTTCCATTCGTTTCCGTTCGATTCGGTCCATACGTTAATTTCTATAATAATTTCTATAATAAAGCACCTCGGCAAATATAGCTCGTACCATTGGAGCCCACGATTTAATTAAAAATATGGTATTTATCTTTGGAGGCGGGTCGTAACCGATCGATACTGTTCCATCCGTTCGACGAGCGCCATCGTTGAAGCTCCCGGCGTCGCTTCCGATGCATGTAAATAGCAGGGAAGCTCGTCCGGGAATTCCCGAAGGCTAAGAGCCGTTGGGGCCCCCTTCGTTACCATTCGCAAAGTCCGCGCCACACCGGGGACAGCGTTCCCGACGAGCCGGCAACTACTCCGAAGTCCTTCCTTCCGACGAAGGTGGGCAGGACTCCAACGCAAGGAGCCGCACCGAGATAAAGGAGGAGAGTGGCACATTCATATAAGAGAGATAAAGAGAGAGAGGGAGGAAGGAGAAATAGAGAGAGAGAGAGAGAGAGAGAGAGAGAGAGAGAGAGAGAGAGAGAGAGAGAGAGAGAGAGAGAGGGAGAGAGAGAAAGAGACACATATAGAAACGCGAAGGAAGAGATCGAGGGATGCGCAGGGAAATGCGCAGGGCGGCGTTAGACCGGGATATGCGGAAGAAGGCACAAGGGGTGGCGAAGGGGAGTAGATGAGGGGGATCGTAATTCATATGCTAATCTGGAGGAGATGCCATTGTAATCTCCGGTCGCCTGCCTCCGTGCGGCCCCACAAAGCCTCGGCTTGACGCGGATGCAGGAGTGATCCTGAGCACGGGGTGCCGCCGCCGCCGCCACCGCCATCGCCGCCGTTGCTTCTGCGGCACGGTATATACCTATGTAGAGTGTACGCTGTATCCACGTAGTCGCAGAGAGTTCAATCAGGGGGGTTACTGAACTTCGACAACACCGCCGAGCTGCCTCCTCCCTCATCGACATCGCCGATGTCTATCCTCCGTCGTGTACGATCGTACAAGATGGTTTCCGCCACTTCATCTTCGCGTCTCGCTCTCTTTGTCCATCCTTCCCAAACCGTCTTTTCCTTAACAACCATCCCGACGCGATCTTTACGATCCTTACGTCGCCGTTGACGTGACCCTCATCCGATTTCTCGGCGGATGTTAATGACATCATGTAATTCGTTGGGATAACGCACGGGATTACGGTAAATCCTCGGTCGCGTAATTACAAGTCCGAGATATATTGGGCGTAGTCTGCTTTAAGGTGTCCAAACCGGTCCGCGTCATCCAACATCAACTATCTCGAGGACAGCGGACGGATTACTTTTTATTAACCTTCGTTATTTTATCGTGTCTCACGATCTTGCGATTAACGATATTGCAGGATTATCGATAACAATCAACTCACGCGTTTAGATCACTGGAATACCTCTTGTCAGCGCAATCATTTACTTATCGCTTTAATCCGTATATAACTTCCATCTCGATCGCGTAAATAAATTCCAACAATCTCAACTTGATTTAAAAACGAATTTAGATCAAATTGAACTTTAAACATCGAATATACTATCATCGTTTCTTGTTGATGTCGCGAAATATTATATGAGAAACATTTAAGGATTGCATTCTTAATAAACAAAATCAATGTAACTTTTTCACGACATATTCCTATCTAAAAAAAGAAAAGAAAACAGAAAAAAACGAAGATAGGGACGCGCGCTTCATTGCTTCGTATTCATAAAATGACAATTTAAGATAGCGACGTCTATAACCATTCCTCATTTCCAACCATCGAGAACGGTTTCATTGTTCCAAGGGATTCCTTCGCCTTTTTCCACGTTAATGACTGCCCTTTACGCCTGCATTTCGCAGCCCGCGACGTGCGGCTTAATTACATCACTTTATAGATTTCCTTCTGCAACGACTAGCACTCGAGCGGCGGTTCCGCAAAGTAACGTCCTATTAGCGATACAAAAGATAAATCAGGCTTTAATTGCGAGGCGATGCGACATTAAAACGTCCGATCGCAGAAATAGTCGCCTGTTTCGATTTCTCATATCGCATACCTCGAGAAACACGCACGCGCGAGAAACCGCGGAATATTTCGGCGATAAATCAATCTGCGAATTATACGGCGAACCGCACAAACAGTCGAAAAGATATTTCATGCTGATTTAGACTTTATCTTAAATCCTTACCAACATTTATAGATTTACCGTGTCAAGGCGCGCGAACAATAGCCATTCATAAATGCGCTATCTCCCGCAATATCGGCTACGATTTTACGACCGCAACCCGCACTCGGGCAGTTATCCTTTCTACCTCTTATCGCGGTGGTGTATCATCGGAGATGCATTTACCTCGAAAAGGATCTCAGCGAAAAGCACTCGAGTGAACGACTTCCTCCCACCCCCCCCCTCCCCGCCCCCCCATGAAACTCCCGCCCGACAACATTTTTCACGCACATCGATGGTAAGACTCCACCGCGCGCGATAGTGGCAGCCGAAGCAGCCGGAATTAAGTTTACAGCGACGAGAACAGATTTGAGAAATGCGTATCTCGCGCGGAAGTTGGCCCGCCGACTCAGGGTCGGTCAAAGTTTCTACGACTGGATAAGGGTGGGTGCTCCGCTGTACCGGAGCTAGTTGAGCAAGTAGATAAGTTTCGATCCCTCAGCGAGCCACCTTGCTCCCACCGCCATCACTCGCCCTACCGCTTACCTCTTCGTCGTAGATAAACGTATCCCGGAATATCGGGCTGAAGGGGGAAAAGGGAGAAAGGGTTGAGGGGCCCTACGGCCGCCTTCTCGCGTCGCTGCCAACTTGGACTCGGCTGACGTGACGTGAACTGGTCTTAAACCCGTCCGAGAGAAATCCTCGCGGATTATAAGAGTCCGTCTTCGTATTTCTTCTTACGAAGAGGAACGACGGATGACGGGGTACCACGGTAAGACGAGCGCGAACTTGCTCGCTGGATTTGTAACTGCAGTTTTGTTTTATGATATGGTACCGGAGTATTCGAGAAGTTGATTCACTCGCGAGCGATATGTCAGAGAAATATGAAAATTACAAATTACAAATGTATGGAACAATCTTATCTTTAGTATTAATATTTTAGTATTTAAGTGAATAATTAATAGATATAGAATATATATATTTGAATAGAATGTTACAGAGACAAAAATTTTAATGTTCATCCGGTATTTATCTTATTTTAATGATTAAGTTCCCATTACCATTTCTGTTTAATTTTTGAATAATAAATTTATATTCGTGTCTCTAAAAAAATATCGAAAAAATTTAATTCGGATAACTTTTAGTATTTTAATATCGAGTTCGCATATCCTATGAAAAAAAGAATAACGAAAAACAGCTAACAGATGAGTTTCTTGATATTATTCTTTCAAAATGCTGTTTTACTAATTACTAAATAAACGCGGCGACTCATTAATAATTAACGATCATTCAGCGGAACTTCAACGATTCGACGGGTCATTTGGTAGGCTCGCAGTAATTCAAAAGAAAACTCGTTATCACGAATAAAACGTTGTTTGTGTGTTATCAACGCTATGTCAAACAAAACGTTCGCTTTGTTCTCATCGCCCAGCGAGACGATCATTTCCTCAGAGTTAATTCCTCTTTCGCTTCCGCTCGGGGAGTCTCGAAGGAGAGAGGACACGAAGGGCGCGTTAACACTTAGCTCCGGCGACAAAGGTCCAATTCTTGGTCTCCACGGTGTCCTGACGCGACAATGGGAGCGAACTCCCGGCGAAAAGTACAGACGGGGCTAAGGACAGACGGGACGTTGATACGCCGAAGGGAATCGAGGCGGGTGTGAGCAGTATGGGGATTGCCGAGGGGGAGGGGGGGAAGGGGTGAAAAGACGGGCGGGGAGAGAGGAAGAATCTGCGGAAAGCGGGATGCAACGAGGCTGCAAGTCAGGCGAGAATCTAATTTCCCGAGACAAATCCTTAAATGTGCCCTGGAGCCCGGCTGGAAGATGCGAGCCGAGGCATCTCACGGAATGAGCTCGCGTCTAGCATCCGCGACAACGACCTTTAACTCGACTCGCCAATTTTGCGTCTCCATAACCCCCTCGCGAAGCGCGTCATTAAGCTCATTCACGCGAGAAATGCGGTAGATCGAAAACAGAGCGTCGCAATCCGGAGTGCAGTTGCGATCTAAACCGGAAAAACATAAACCCCCTCCGGTGTTTTTTGTTTAAACGTCGAGATTGCTCGGGCGGGTTACGTAAAGACGTCGTCTCCTACTTAATTTATCGATGACAAAAGAGTGAGATTCGTTGTCGACTTGAAAAACCGACGTAAATTCGCAGTCGACAATTTTGATATTTTGGAGCCTTGCGAGAGACTTTTCAATTAGTTAAAATCAACAATATTGAAGTGTTTATGGAAATTATCCAATTTTAATTATCTCAAATGGCATATGAGTTTCGAATCTTGTTACCATTACTGATGTGATAGTTTAATTCCTGCAATTATTAAAGTGATTGCATTATATTCACGGTCTAGCTTTGTATTATGAAAATTAGGTTACTATAATTACTAATTGCACTGTTAAAATAAAAAATGCCTATACCTGATATTTAGTAATAACCAAACGGAATATATATTTTAATGAGACTTAATCGCTACATAAATGAAAGTGCGTATAATATGTGAAAACCGATTAGTAATAACGACCCGTTACAAAGTAAATTTGCAAGAGAAATAACTTTCGCTCAACGCAACGATATCTTTTACAGGCATCGATTTACGAATGATATATATATGTATTCTTGTCTATACTGATCATAAACTTTTTTTTTATAATCTGATAGGTCGTGTCGTATTCATCACGCAGAAGATCCGATCGAAAGAAATGTCCTGTACCGTACAAGTATGCGAAAGAAACGCATGGGTACGATTCCCAGTTGGGCGAGATCTAAGATCGAATTGAATCCTAGCGAGGATTCACATAGACGACGAATGGTGTATTTTTTGGGTCCAATGCCATTTCTTTGTTTCTGTTCTGTATTCCAGAGTGCATGATGGACGACGGGAGCGCCTGTGCCATCTTCTGGAAGTAGGAGGCACCGGTTTCGGCCGCTGAAGGTAACTTCGACTTCCAGGAGATAGCTAGCTTCCTTCCAGTACCTCTATTCTTCTTCTCCGCAAATTGGCGAAAGAGAACGAGAACTTCTCTCCCCTCTCCCCCCCCTCCCCGATGAAATGAGAACAAAATGAATAAGGAAAAAGAAACGGGTCCAACTATCCCAACTCCCCCCCTCACCCCATTCTCTCCCGCCAACATCACGCCAACACCGCTGATTCAGCCAGCACAGCCCGCCGCAAAGTTCATTTTGCTGCTCGCTAGT